GCTTGCCTGGCACTGTTTGGACTCTCTCGCTGCGTTTTGGAATTCAGTCGGCAACGATAATTACCGGTGGTTGTATCTCCATACACAACAGTGCTCAGCCTCTGCAGCCAGCCAGCTAGCAAACAAACAGCCACACTACTGTGCCCAGCAATTATATTTCAGTGAACGCGTTTGCGGCGCAATTTACGAAACACCGTCATCGTGATCGTCATCATTATTTTGTACGCGCGCCCATGGAAGTCCATGTCCGCGTCCTCAACTATCGCCGTCAACATATTTTTTGCACAGAGTTTGTGTGAGTGGAATTAAGGCAAATTGCAGCAGCAGCAACAACAAGAACAACAGAGGTGATAAAGTAAAAGAAGTTGTGCACATTGTGGCCATTTGATTTCGGCTGGTGAATTTTGTGTCCAGCGGCCAGTGGCCACTAGCTAAAGCCACATATGCAGCAACAATTTGGACAAGGCTTGTAATTATCAAAAAATTTTGTTTAGTGCGTGCTCGTTGGCTTGTTAAGTTCAGCCGTTTCGAAGTGCAAACGATTTAATTTGGAGTAGCAGAAAATTCTGTGTGGAGTATTTGCAGAACAAATAAAAAAAAACTAAATTAAAAAAAGCACAAAACAGAAAAACGCATACATATGTGAATAGTGATTTTAGAGTTGTAAAAGCGTGGAAAAAGTGTAAAAAGTGCAAACATTTGTACAACAATAACAAAAGTCCGCTAGAAATGCAAGAAAATTAACACAAAACAGAAGGCGGCAAAGGAACAGATTGCGTATGGCCGCAAGTGCTGATGCGATAAAACAACAACAAACGTAATTACAGAGTGCACCCACGACCCAAGACGACGACGACGTAGGTGACGAACGCGGCGCTATAATCATAGTGCGATGATAACAAGTGTAAAGTGTGCCATAAATGCAGTAGGAAGAACGTGTAAAATAAAAAGTAAAAAGCGCTGAACTAATAAGGGACGAAGAAAAACAAAACAAAAAAAAAAAACACACAAATAAAAATAATAAAAAATGAATGCGAACAAAAAAGCATTACAACAAAAAAGTGACATTTGCAAAAACACTTGAGTGAGTGCTTAACAACGGAACGTAAAAAACTGGCAAGGATACCAACAAAGCGAATTAAAATAAGGAAATTGACGCAATTTTTTTTTTTTAATAAAATTCGAGAGCGTAAATAAATCCTCTAAATAAGTATCAGCAGCTTAATGAATGATTACTCCAACTTGAAAATTAAAAAAAAAAGTACCTAAGGTATCAAAGAAAAAGCTTTAGCCACACTTAAATACTTAAAATTAAATTACTCAAATTAATTACACAAAATGATTGATGCTGCCTGCAATTATCTGAATCCTTATGCGTCCGCTTCGCTTGCCGCCGCCGCCGCCGGTATGCCGCCCATCAGCAGCAGTCATCACCATCACCATCTCCAACAGCAGCAGCAGCACCACCACCACCACCACCAACAACAGGCCGTAGCAGCCACTTCATTGAGTGCGGCTGCCGCCGCCGCCGCCGACGCTGCCACAGCAGCCGATACCGGTACATCAACGGCAACAAACTTTTCCGCATTGACAAGCCAAGCAGGAAGCAACCACAGCGGCAGCCACAGTCATACACATCTCAGCGGTGGCTTCACCAGCAGCGCCAGCAATTTTGCTTCGCTTTACGGCCAGAAAGGCTCAACAACAGCAACAGCAACATCGTCGCCGGTTGCATGTAGCGCACTCGCTATGAAAATGGAAATGCAATATCCGCCACAATCATCGTCCACCGGCACGGCTTCGCCCATCTCGAGTCAACAGTCGGGTCCCTCGTCGGCGTCCGTTTCACCAACCAGCATATTTCCATCGCCCGCCCAGTCATTTGCATCGATTTCCTCAAGTCCGCCTGCATCGGCAACCTCATCGTCGGTGTCGCCACTTTCCGGCTCACCGACCACCGCCCAGGCTGTTGTCAGCGCACATGCCAGCGCAGCTGTTGCAGCAGCAGCAGCGGCCGCTGCGTCCACAACGGATCTGGGCGCGGCAGCAGCAGCAAGTGCTGCCTACTCGTGGAATACCTACTCGGCGGCAGCAGCATTGCCAACACGGTAAGTTGTGATTTGTTTGTGGCAAGTTAGATTGAATTAAGGGTGGGAGGGGGGAGGTAGGTTGGTTGCGCTTGGTGTATGTAGTGCTGCTGGCAATGCAGGCAGCCTCGCTTGTGCTTTGACTTGTGCATTTCCGTTATTTCCGTCATTTTAATTTTTCCACTTTTTCTCCCTTTTCCTTTTTTATTTCGCATGCAGCACACAGTTTCCTTATGCACAATATGCCTCGGATTACTACGGCAATGTCGGCATGTCTGCCTCGGCTGCAGCCGCCGGCGCTTGGTTCTCGCATCAGGATCGTCTTTACCAGCCGTGGTCAAGCCAGGCGTATCCGAGTTTCAATTTCGACGACATCGCCTTCCAGACGCAGCTTCAGCGGCGCTCAGTACGCTGCACATGCCCCAACTGCGCCAACGAGATGTCCGGTCTGCCACCAATTGTCGGTCCTGATGAGCGCGGTCGCAAGCAACATATCTGCCATATACCCGGCTGTGAGCGCCTCTACGGCAAGGCGTCACATTTGAAGACACATTTGCGATGGCACACTGGCGAGCGGCCGTTCTTGTGCCTGACGTGCGGCAAACGCTTTTCGCGCTCCGACGAACTGCAGCGCCACGGCCGCACGCATACCAATTATCGTCCATACGCGTGTCCGATTTGCTCGAAAAAATTCTCACGCAGCGATCATTTGAGTAAACACAAGAAGACTCATTTCAAGGATAAGAAGAGCAAGAAGGCGCTCGCAGCGGAAGCAAAGCAACAGGGGTCTGTTGTCAAGCAGGAGAAAACACAAGACGCACAACAGGAGAAGTCAGCCACGGAAAGGGCGGGTGGTCTCAATAGTAATAGTACAAAGTCCTCGGCAGCGGGTCAGACTAGCGCTGCGTCGGCTTCGAACCCCAACACACCCACTAACGCTACCGCGGTGTCTAAACCGAATGCGCTGCCAGCAGCTTCCACATCACGTCTCGCTGCGCCCACATCAGCGGCAACACAACTTCAGTTGAAAACCGAACAGCCGGATGCCACCAACGGCTATAGCGCTTACTCGAATTTGTACCATCAGGGCTCAACGCTCTTCCAGCACACGCATCCGTTAGCCAGCGCGGGCGTCTACGCGGGCGGCTTGCAGCAGCATGCGCTATCACAACAGCAACAACAACAGTCTGCGGCCGCCACCTCCTCCGCACCCTCAGCTTCCCCCC